TTGATTGAGTCGACGACTATAATCAGCACAAATGTCCTAATTTTGGATTTTATATTATCACAGCAGGCATTTCCCACCACAGATTCCGTCAGTCCCTATGTATCATTAGTAGCAGCTGGTCTCGGAGGGTTTTTTTTTTAATGGAAAATAAAGGTTTCCTAACGGACTTTTTAAGGTCGACCATCTTCGGCTTTTTAAGAATTAAAAAGGACAGAAGACGTTTTCTTTTTTTCCCCATTTTTAAAGAGAAGGGCAGGTGGTGATAAAATGAAAAATAGTAATTAATAAGTTTTGCCTAGAGGAAAAACTAAAAATTGAAAAATAGAGAAAAATGAATATACAACAAAATAAACAAGGTCAAATATAAAGCGAAACAAAATTAAAACAGTCAAAAGTAAAAAACGCAAAACAGAAAGACGTACAAAAATTAGACGACAGACGAGAAAAATTAAAAACATTATAAACAAGGTTCGCCTGTAAGCGACACTACAAATTTAAAAGGACAAACACAAAACAGAAGGACGTACAGAAAACGACAGACGAGACAAATTGAAATAAATATACAAGAAAATAAAAATAAAACGAAACGCTCTACAAAGAACAAATAAAAAGAAATACGAAACAATATATACGTAACAATTCACAAACACAATATGACCTCTGTTAAAATAACAGTCAACCCGATATAAAAAAAGACAGACAATTAAAAAAGAAACAGACAGAATAAACAGAAAAATTAGACATAAAAAGGTATACAGAGGTTATTAAAAAAACAAACAAATAAAAAACAGACTTTATGGATATTAAAAAGAAAAAAAAACACAGAGCAAAGTAACACGTATTATTAAACAAAGAAAAATAAAGTCGGACACGAAACGTAGAAAGAAAAAATAAACAGATAAACTTTGGGAAGGGGATACCGAAAAAAAAAATCCAAAGACAGAAATTAATTGTTGGAGAAAATTAAAAAATTAAAGAATAACAGCAAAATAAAGTAAAAAATAAACATGGGGTGGGGTAAGGAAATGAAAAAGAAAAACTCAAAAACTTTGCAAAAACAGTCGTTAAAGAACGTAAGAAAAAATGGTAAAAATAAATCAAACTTAACTAAACAGAGGTTAGTGGTTCAAAATGATTCAAAGCGTGACAGAATAAAAGTCCAAATCGAATCTCCAATTCTAGACCAACATACAGTATTCACTACTGTATTTATGGGAATGGGGACATACCCATTATCGTCTGTAGGTATGCTACAACAATAACTTACTTTTATAACATCTGTATCGGGGTTGAGGTTGTTAATGTAATTTTTCCGTTGTTATTTGTATTTGTAATTGATAGAGAATTCCTTTCCTCTCTATTTTTCTTACTGAAAATGAAATGAATAAAACGTACAACATTCACATGAATAATAACATTTTGAGACACGTTATCATTAATGACAGGGATGTGTATTTTTCTTTTTGATGTTAATTACAATATTGGTATTGTGTGTGTTGAAAATATTCTCAGCGTTATTGTCTCTTTAAAAGTTTGTGCTTACTTGTTTTTGCTTGTTCCGAAAATTTCGTCGTTAATGGTAGCGTTTGGGACTGTTAAATGTGGATTTTTACGGAGCGATGGTGAAACGTCTATATTCTTCTTTTTTACTACTGCTACTCTACTGCTTGTGGTGGAAACATCTTTTTTTTTTATAATGATGAAGTTTCAAATTTTTAGGATGATGAAATATTTGATCTTTATTTTCAGAATGATGAAACAAACTTATCATCAATCATCACTGGTGGTAAGTTTGTTTTTAGAATGATGAAATATTTATCTTCATTTCCAGGAGGATGAAATATCCTTATCATCAATCATTACTGGTGGAAAGGTTGTTTTTAGAATGATGACATATCGTCATCATTCTGGATCATATCAGACCCATACTTAAACAGTCTAAGAGACTATCTACAACCACAACCGGTGTAAATTATATTCTTTCACCATTACATAAAACTTCTCCAAATCAACATGCAGACAACCAACGACCATTGATAAATATACATACGAATACACATTATCATCCAAGTTTTCGCATAGACATACTAGAATTGATATGAAAAAACGTGAATTATACACATGAATACTGCACGTGAGGTTAGATTAATCAAGGAAAAACAAACAACGTAAAAATGAATATTCTTTACTTCTACATGTTTCATTTTCTGAAGTAGTGTTATTTAAATTGAAACATGTTAAATTCATGAACGTTTCTTGTTTATTCCATAACATCATGTTAATATTCCAGTGAGGAAAAATATCTTCAAGATCTTTAAACGTTCGCTTCGAAACGAAACAAAAAGAAATAGAAGATTTAGAGCTACAGTGTAACCCGGATATAAGAGAGTTGTCGAGACCGGAGAAGAAGTCTCTTATATCAGGGTTTCTCTTATATCCGGGTTTGGTCTAATTTATATACATTAACACATGCTCTAAATTGGGACCAGAGAAAATCTCTCTTATATCCGGGTTTCTCTTATATCCGAGTTTCTCTTATATCCTGGTCTCTTATATCCGGGTTACACTGTATATGAAATTAACTGTGGACATCGAACGTAGAATAGGCTACGCTAGAGATATTTTCGCCTTTCACCTCAAATTGCTACAAAAGGTCAATAAATAAATAAATAAATAAATAAATAAAATAAACCTGAAAATTCAACTTTTTCCTATGGATGCCATGAATGGTTGCTTGCCTTTTTTTTTTTTTTTGCGGCATATCAATCAAGTGTGGATTATTTAATACAATTTTATGGCTTCAACTAAATTTTATTTTGAAAGCAATTGTATGCCTCTACAGATAAAAATGTATTGTTTGTCATTTTACAATAAAATATGTTATTGGTAATTCTCCTAAAATATATAAATATATAATATATTGTTGGTAAATTTACTGTAAATGTGTATTGTTGGTTGTTTTACTGTAAAAGGTATTATTGGTAATAGTCAAAAAATATATTGCTGGTCATTTTGCTTTAAAAATGTATTTTTAAAAGAAAAACTTGTAGTTCCAACGAATGATTCATTTGATGGAACTATTTCGACTTGCTCTTGCTAGTCTTGGTCGCTCCTTTAATTTGAGTAAAACAGTTGGCTTCGAAACGAAACAAAGAGAAATAGAAGATTTAGAGCTATATGAAATTAACTGCAGACATTGAACATAGAATACGCTACGCTAGAGATATTTCTATGGAACTACAAGTTTTTCTTTTAATTATGCAACTACTAACGGAGACAAAAATCCTAACATTAAAAATGTATTGTTGGTAATTTTAATATAAATATGTATTGTTCGTATTATTTTTTTAAATATAAATATGTATTGCTGGTATCTTTTACTATAAAACTGTATTTCTATAATTTCAGTGGATGTTTCATTTTGCCCATAGCTCAGATCGTAAAAGGTGCTACCACCCCGTGTAAGGGTGAACCTAGGAACAACTGCAATTAATAAGTGGTTCCACACTCTTCAGAACCTTCACTCTCTCGATCAGAGGTCTTGCTGCCGGATGCAGTTTATCGTCCGACCAAGGACTGCCATGCATGGTTAAAAACCCGTTCCAAAATATCTAAACTGTCAGTTTACTTATTTTGTAACGCTTCCCAATATCAGTGTTAAAAAAAGGGTTTTGAACGAGTGAATGATATGGATCTTGGTCGGAACTGAGGCTACCGAATAACAGAAACGACGTTACCTGAGGAGTTTCAACAGCTAAAAGGGATAGCATAAGTTAGACGAAATCTCTATCTATAAAAGGCAGGATGTGTGTGTGCGTGTGTGTGTGTAACAAATGCACGGCCGCAATTTTCGACGCATTTGCACCAAAATTTAGATGCACATGCTCCGAGTTAGCAGGAAGGACAAGACCGACTTTGCATTTCCCAACTCCCATCGATAGTGGAAATAATCGATTTTTTCATGCTTCTACGGCAGTTTTCATATAGGTTGCGGCCATTTTGTACTGGCCAGAGTGAGAGCCTATAGCTGGCTGCCACGAATAGGCAGGAAGATTCTATTGACCAGCGTGAGAGCCAACAGCTGACTGACACGAATGTTAAATAGCATGCTAGCATGCAAAAAAAATCGATAGCTGCATTCGTCACAAGTGGGAAAAATTTAAATCTGCATGGCACTTTACTCCAATTGGCTCATTCGCTTGCTTAAACTCAACGTTGATTCTGATTCCGCAGAACTGGGTTGGGTGTGAAAAAGTATTTGTTGTTAACATTCTTTTTTATTCGGTATTTCCAGTTACGAGTCCTTTTTAAAGCTGATCGTTTTGTGTTTATTTTGTTTAGTTCCTTTTTCGTAACAGATTTAATGTTTAGTATAGAGCTTAGAAAAAATTCGCAGTGTGAGATAGGCAAGAAGTAAGGCATGTAGCAACATCAACACGGCAAAGGGCACTCCTTTAAAGGCAAGGAAGGGCAAAAATATTTTAATTCAAGTGATAGCGATTGCTGTGTGCGTCGTACGATTTTTGAATCAAACACGGGCAACTCCGGGCCATGCTGCTAGTCATGACATAAACAAGATATTAATAGTACTTCAAATAAAAGGTTATCAAGGAAAACCCACCAGTATTAGAAAGATCTACAACAGCTACTGGACTTGAGAAACCAGTTATTCTGAAAAATTTGTTTGAAGAAAAATTTATAAATTTCAACTGACAGTATTAGTGTCTATTCGGTCAATGAATGTCGAATGTTTCCTTATAAGGAAACGGCTAATATGACCATTACTATAATCATTTTATTTATTACTTACGAGCGATGAAAACAGAGACTGCGCGAGTTGTACATTTTAAGTACATTGTGATGTAAATTCTTTCGATATTTTTATTGGGATACGAGAAATAAAACCTTATTTCGCTAAAAGCATTCCAGTGGTTTCCGATTGAATTATTTGTCTTTTTTTTAATATCCACCTAAAATAATCTCTTTCTCTCTCTTTATAGATTTTTCTCTCTCTCTCTCTCTCTTTCTATTTCTCTTGCACCCTCTCTTTTTACTCTATCTTACTTTCTTTCGGTTTGTCACTTACAATTTTTATTTCTCTTTTCTACCTCTCTCTAAAGTTATATTTGTATATCTCTTTTTTTTCATCGTCTCCCTGTTCTCTTATATATTAGCCCCTTTTCTTTTATTTTCTACTCTCAAATAATCTCTCTTTCCTTGTAGATATATCTCTCCGTCTACTTTGCTCTTTCTCTTTCTACACTATCATACTTTCTTTCTGTTTATCGATTACCCCCATTATCTCTCTTAGATGCCTCCCTCACTCTCTCTCTCTCTCTCTCTCTCTCTCTCTCTCTCATTAAAGATATCTTTCTATATCTCTCGTTAAATTACTCTTATTTACTACCCACTTTCCCCCTCTTTTGTCTTCAGATCATCTCCCCCTCTCCCTCTTTCTAGATTTATCTATCGATATCTTTCTTGTACTCTCTCTTTTTACCCTATCTTTCTTTCTGTTTTTTTGATTACCTCCTTTATTTCCCCGCTTCTGTTTTAGAAAACTCTCTCTCTCTCTACAGATATATTTTTACATCTTACATTCTCTCTGTCTCCTGCTCTTTCCCTTTCTCTCTGTCACCTTTCTTTCTCTTTCTGTTTTCAAAAAGTCTCTCCATCTCTCTCTTTCTAGACTTCTCCCTCTCTATCTCTCTTGCAATCTCCCTTTTTACTATATTTTACTTTCTTTCTGTTTATCAATTACTCCTTTATATTACCTGACCCCCCCCCGCTCTCTCTCTCATTAAAGATATATTTCTATATCTCACTTAATTTTTACTACCCTCCTACTTCCCCTTTCTCTCTTCAACTAATCTCTCTCCCTCTCCCTCTTACTAGATCAATATATCTCTATCTTTCTTGCATTCTCTCTTTTTACTCATTCTTTCTTTCTGTTTATCGATGACACCCTTTATTTCTATGTCTCTTACTAAATATATCTTTCTATATCTCACTTGCTCTCTGTCTCCTTCTCTCTGATTATCTCTTGAGCGCCTTTCTTTCTAACTCTGTCCTCAAATCGTGTCTCTTTCGAGATATTCAGGGTGCGATGGATAAATTGTCGTCTAAATTTAAAATGAAAATAACACTGATATCTCATTTTAACAAATATATGTAGCAAATTTACCCAAACATATCTAAGTGGTGATATAGTCGCAGAAATTGTCTGTCAGCCATGACTTGGTTCTTCTGCTAGTGTGGCATGGTGCAGAATCCTGTTGCCAGACATAGGGTCTGTCAGCAGACACCCACTTGACCCAGGGCAGCACTACTTATTCAAGGTACTCAATGTAGGCCTCCGTGTTGAGTCTGTGGAACTGTGGGAAGGTGAATGGAAACATAACATCGCCATCACTAGTGATCACTCCAAACTTCTTCCTGATCACCATTAAACTCATCCAACTCTTTCCGAATCTTATGCCCTGTTCTCAGATTGACACTCACTTTGAAATGTTCGTGTTGGAGCTTCCGGTGTGAATACCAAACAGTACAGCCCCTCATTGTGCTCGTTTTCAGATAGTGTCCAACTGACCCTACAATAGAGTTCAGTCGAGAAAAAAAAAAAAAAAAACACAACACACATGCGCTAAAAAACAAAAGCAAAAAAAAAAACAGTGACAATTTATAAATCGCACGCTGTATCTGTCTATATCTCTCTCGGACTATCTCTTTGTTTTTACTCTAACTTTCATTCCTTTTCTCTATTACCACTCTTCCTTCCCTCTCTCTCCCTCTAAATATATATTTCTATATCTCACTTGATATCTCCTATCGTTTTCTTTCTTTCTAGATTTCTCTCTCTATATATCTTGTGCAATCTGTCTTTGTTTTTACTCCATTAAGCCGTGATTATCTCTTACTGCCTTTCTTCTTCATACTCTTGTGTCCTGGGTAAGACGATAGACTACATCCATGTCCTGGGTAAGACGATAAACTACATCCGTGTCTTCGGTAAGACGATAAACTACAACCACGTCCTTGGTAAGACGATAAACGACATCCGTGTTCTGGGTATACATACACAATTTACATATACATATATAATTGTATATATTTATTATTTATATACCTACACATCTTACAAAAACACACACACATACACACACACACACACACACACACACACACACACATATATATATATATATATATATATATATATATATATACACACAAACAGAGATTTGTACCCAAAGATCTGATATATAGCCAAAAACAAAACGGACGTCATACCAAAGGTACCTTTCGGCCAACACTTTTTCAAAGGTATTCGTTGGCAATATAATTTCCATCCTCATTTATTTTATTAAGTGTGTCTTTATATTGCCAACGAATACCTTTTGAAAAAGTGTTTTAAACAAAAAGGTAATTTTAGGTATGACGTCCGGTTTGTTTATTCATTTATATATATATATATATATATATATATATATATATATATATATATATTATTTCCAGATAAAGTGCATCTGTAAAGAAACAAAACCAATAAAAATGGACACGAGGAAAAACTATTCTTAGCCGGTATGCTATGGATGTTTGTGTTGTACATTTTCAAAAACATGAGGTGATGCATTTAACCGTTTTCTTTTGATTTTTTAACATATTTGTGGTTATGTATGTTGGCTTTGAAAGGTAGTAATTCTTTTCGGAAAGAAGAGATTGGAAAGAAACCAAAGGCGTAGATTTATATTGCGGTCGAATTTATTTTTGTGTATGACTAGTGCATTTGATAGATTGTCATGCATAAGATCATTGAATGTGTTTTCTTCATGTTTCTTCTTAAAAAACAAAAACAAACTATATTACCTTGCTAAAGACCCTCAGTGGATGAAACGCATTGTATAATATTAGTTTTTCATCTTGTCTAATTTATATATATATATATATATATATATATATATATATATATATATATATATATATATATATATATGCAGATATATAGAAAAATAGGAAAGAACACGTTAGGTAAATAATCCGGAGTCCTTTAGTATTTTTGTTTTTATTTTAACAAAAACAGTGCTCCATACAGAAGTAGAGCTTAAATTATAATCATTTTTAAAAAATATGATTCCTTCGCTACATAAAAGTTCTTATGTTTCAAAAACGAGAGTCGAAACCCTCAATATAATTCGCTTGAGGATGAAACAGGGCTTGATACCTTAATTCAATTTAATTTTAATAATTATATTGAGGTTTTCGGCTCTCGTTTTTGAAATATGAGGACTCTTATGTAGCGAAGGAATTATATATTTTTTTAAAATAATTATAATATATATATATATATATATATATATATATACGAAAATGTTTAATATCTAAAAAACACTAAACTAATTGAATTTATTTTTTTCAGGTTTTCAGATGAGACGTTTAGCCATCTTGACACCCGTTGCCACAAGAATCACTGAAAAACCCTTTGAGTTATTCAGCTAAAAAGAAAACAGGATAAACTGAGCAATGGTAAGAGAAAATATTAATCAGGTCTTCCGTATTGCCACCAACATTCATACTTTGGCTTCCATCTTCAAAGTCCATTCAAGAAAGCATCAAGAAAACAGTGAATAAGTATATAAAAAGGGAATAGTCGAGAGGAAAACTTGATCAGGAAGTCACAACAGGGAGAGGGCTCATCATTTTAACATAGTGCTAAAGAGACAAATTAGAAAAGATCCAACTGAATTCATAAGACTTATGACATGTCAGAGAGGAGTTACAGCTATGAGAGTCCAAGGAAAAGTGAAAAAGATTTGAAAATGAAATCCTAAGTGAAGCCTATGAGGCATCTTGTTATTCCAGAACAGAAAGTTAGAAAGTTAGAGAGGGCGAATAACATATTGAATAAATTGGAAAATGATCCTGGAAAAATATATCATGAGCTTCCGATCCTTAGCTCTGGTTAATTAATGGTGAACATGTCATTTTCGTTTATCATCGATTTCATCAAAATTCTTCTGTTAAGCCTTGAGAGAAATTATACATTCTCATTGCTCAAAGTAGAGTCCAATAGTGTTATAAAACCTTGGAGACTTCCAGTAATATATCTTTAATCATTTGTTAAGATACAACAGATCAAATCTTAATCTTTTTGACAATTTTGATGTTGCAGCCTATATATATATATATATATATATATATATATATATATATATATTTCAATGCATCATGAACTGCCGATTCTTAGATATGGTAAATTAGTGATGAACATAGCATAGCATTTTCGTGTATGATAGATTTCATCACTATTCTTCTATTAAGCTTAGAGAGCAATTTCTTATTGCTCAAAGTAGAGTTTAATAGTTTTGCAAAAACCTCGAAGAATTCCAGTAAGTCATCTTTAATCATTTCTACGATACAACAAGCTTAATCTAAGAATAGGACAAATTTACTTTAACACGATTTGGACAATTTTGTTGTTACATTTATATATATATATATATATATATATATATATATATATATATATATATATATATATATATATATATATATATATATATATATGTGTGTGAGTTTATGCATAAATATATAAAACATATGAATATATAATATATATAGAAAGTAAATAATTTGTTATTTATTTATCCGAAAAAAAAGAAAAAAATTCTTACAATCCAAAAATATAATAATTTCTAGGTTTAAATAACCTTGAAAATGTTGATACGTGTAGAACATCAAGATAGATGAAGGATTTTCATATATATATATATATATATATATATATATATATATAATTTATGAGAAAATAGATATAATTCGATTGACTGATACGCGTAGAACTAAGTCAGTCAATCGAACTATATCTATTTTCTCTTGTTAGTTATATATATATATATATATATATATATATATGTGTGTGTGTGTGTGTGTGTGTGTGTGTGTGTGTGTGTGTGTGTCTGGGTGTGTGTGTGTGTATCAATAATTCTTTCAATGCGTGTTGGTCCTCATCTACATCTATCGTTCTTCAACTTCTCTCTGAATTTCAATCCATCTCTCCCTCTCTCTCTACTCATCTTTTTCTCTTTCTACTCCCCTTCATCTCTCTCTCTCTCTCTACCCACCCTCATCTCTCTTTCTTCTCTCTCTCCTTCACTTTTTCCTGCTCTCTCTTTCCACTTAGATATTTATCTTTTCATCTTTTACTTTATGTTCTTCTCTTCTTTTCTAACTGTCCCCCCCTCTCTCTCTCTCTCTCTCTCTCTCTCTCTTTATTCTCTTCTTTAATTTTGCTGTCTCTGTCTATTTTCCTTTTTTCTCTATTTCCATGTCTCTTTTTCTTGGCCTACATATACCGCTTTCTAGCAACAACTTCACATATTTCTATCTCTTTCTATCTCTTTCTATCCCTCATTTTATCTCTCTCTCTCTCTCCGTGTCTGTCTATTTTTTAGAGTCTTGAACGTTCTTCCTCTTGCTTTCTATGTATCTTTTATTTTCTTTCTATTTCTTTCTCTCTGTCTCCTTCTCTCTATCAGTCTATTTCTATCTCTTTCTAACGCTCTTAATGTTTCTCGATTTCTCTATGTTAATCTATGTTTGAATGTTTCACAGCTTTCTCGGCCATTATTCTCTGTATTTTTTCTTTATCTTTATTTGTCATTCATTCATTGTCCTGAGATAGGTGAAAAAATACTCTTGTCCCCACCAACCATATTTGAGATGCGAAAATAAGTATGATATATTTTCAACAGACATCTTCCAGGTTCCATCTTCGAGCGGCGCAGCAATAGATTGATTTCTAAAGATAGTTTGTGAAAAAAAAAAAAATTCTTTCTTTATAGCATTGGATAAAATAATTCCGTTTTTGATATCATTTTTTGTAATCAAGAAAGGTATTAGAGCATAAGATACGGAACGAAAATCGCGTTCAATCTTCAAGACACCGTCTACCAAGATAGTCGAATGATTTTCATCCCTTGATGACAAAAGTGTTCTCAATCTTCTGTCCCCTTTGTGTATAGGCTTCTTCCATTTGATCTTTCATTTTCTCTTCTCATTCTGGAACAATTTTCGAAACCTTTCTTCAAATTTTCATTTTCCTCAATCTTCCACTGTAATTCTGTATTTGTTTCGTCCATCTTTCATATTTTTTACCTCTTCTTGTTCCCGAACCATATCGACTCTACAAAACGCTTTTCGTAAAAAAGTCGGCCGCTTTGTCTATGTTAGGATTTCCGTCCAGGGTATGACAGTAAACTAGATCTACATCCTGGGTATGGCGATAAACTACATCAGTGTCCTGGGTATGACGGTAAACGACATCTACATCCTGGGTATAACGATAAACTACATGCAACAGCAAGGCTTCTGATCAGGTGGTTTTGAGGAGCGTGAACCACCTCTTAATTGCCGGTGTTCCCAGGTCCACACTGACACGGGTGGTAGCGCTTGTTAGGTTCACAGCTATAGGAAAATAATTAACCCCCAAACTAGGGTCAAAACGCTATGATAGTGTAAAATTAGGTTTTAATACCAGAAATACTTTGTAAAAAATTATTAACAGCAATACATTTTTGCAAAAAAAAATATTACCAGCAATAAAAATTTTGTTGGTATTAAATAACCCATTGAGGTGTTGATATGCTGTATAACAAACCAGGCCAAACTATGTTAGGATTTGAAAACATAGACGTCATTTTTCAAATGTAATTCGCGGTAGATCCCGACAGCGGAGTATTTGCCACATACTCCAGCAGCCATTTTTATCACGCGAAAAGAATATACATGTCCTCCCATGCAACAGTGAATGGCGGACAACTTAACACATGAAGAGAAAACTTAACGCAACATGTTCTATAGATGGATTCTGAAAATAATATGAACAAAGCATGTGTGCAACGAGGAAGTTCGAAGGAAAATGCGAACAATGAGGCCAGTTAAAATCAGAAAGAGTAGTCAAAAATGTTTTTAGACACATAAAAAAAAACGAATGTATGGGAAATATCATACAAACAGGAAATATTGATAGCAAAAAGGACAGGGGAATGCAGTGAATAACCTACCTGGTCAGTTTTTCTGGGGTTAACATTCTTGATTGAAATGGGAAGATTATATTAAATCCATTGCTAGATCTTCTGGTTCACTGTGAAATATTTTAATTCCTGAATCCATCTTACATATCTATAAGTCTACCATTCGTCCATCCTTCGATTATTGCTGATATAGATAATTCGGTCCTCCAGCTCTATATTTAGAGATTCTTGATATAATCCAAAAAAAATCTGCAATATTATTGGTCCTAACCTGGTGTCTCGGCTTCATTCACTTTCCCACCGGCTTCCCTGTGCCCTTTCTATAAATAAGTTCATGGTAATTGTTCTCATGAACTCTTAGCTACGGTATTTCGAGTTTGTTTTTAAAAGCAGTACTAGATTGAATCGAAGGTCAAATTCACCGTTGAATTGGCAAGATGTAATCGTAAGGTCTATGCTAACATTTTCTATTTTCTTACTTCTCACTTGTGGAACTTTCTTTCGGTTACATACTTGAAGGTTATATTTGTATACTAGACTACCCGTGACCCGTTGGGTCACTAACGGTTCAGGTTATAAAACACTGAAGTTGATTTCAACGTACCATTGAAATCAAAGTTAATTTTATTATGATTCACTTAAATACTTCAATTCGTTCGTGTCATCATTGGTCTGGTTTAGAAGTTCATGTTTAATGCTTTACTGATTGTTTACAGCATTTAATAGGAATACAACATCCGGTATAAACCATAAATCAGATTAACTTGAAAATATTTTTTTAATATACCAAAAATATATTTAAATCATTCATTTCAAAATATTTTTTAAATATGCAAAAAAAAATATTTAAAATATTTAAAATATTGTTTGTTTAAAGAAAGCTGAAATATAAATAATTACTCTACAAACAACTGAACAAAACAGCTTTGTTTTTGTCTTTAGCTTAAAATATTTTAATTAAAAAAAATTGTCTGTATGAAGAAAGTTGAAGATATTTACTGTATATTTTTGTTAATCAGATTAATTTGAAAATATTTTTTAAATAGTTAAAATATTGTTTGTTTGTTAAAGCTGAAATATTAATAAGTACTCTCCAAACAAATGGACGAAACGGCAAAGCGGGATGTCTTTGTGTATGTCTTTTAATTAAAAAACAAAACAAAAACAAAACTTGTCTGTTTGAAGAAAGTTAAAATAAAAATATTTACTGTATAAACAACTCGTAAATAATTATACGCCTGCCGGACACATTACACGCACGCAAGGACGAATGCATTCACAGAATTTTAGTATTATATAGGTAAGGTTATATATGTATAAAAGTTTCAACTCCTATCTTAAATCTTTCTACCTCGCATTCTTTCTCGAATCCTCTATCTCTCTCTAAATGTTCTCCATCATTTTCTTTTAATCTTTCTGCCTATTTGTTGAGGGGTCTACTTCTTTTTATACAAATAAACTCACCCAGTATATACATATATTACTGCAAGTCGAGAGCAAGACCCAAGAGTCGAGTCCAGAGTAACAAAGTAAAAGGTTGTAGGTAACCGGAAGAGTGAGGGTGAGGTAACAGCGTTGTAGAAGTCCCAGTGAGCGAGCACGTAGACTCAGTAAGAAGTCATATAGCGATACTTCAATACCAAAGACTGTATATATATTTTGCTACTAACCCGTATTCCTGGAACTACTAACCTGCTTTACCAGTTTGTATTATTAAGTTAATACATTATTTTTCATATATTCATTCCTGGCGTTTGTTATTTATTGGTACCGGATTTACACCCGGAATCCTCAACACTATTATATCTAACTCCTCTTCACTATATAAATATTCCACTCTTATCCACTGTATATAGCTATCTACATTTATAACCCTCCACCTGAATATACTTCTTCATCTTATTATCTCTCGAAGCATCTCTCACTCTCTGAATGTCTCTAGATCTCTCTCCCTATTCGCCATCTTTCCTACTTTAATTATTCCACTCTTATCCATCGCATTTAGCTCCCTTTATCTCACCTCTCTTATATCCTGTAAATCGCTCTATTATCCCTCTGTACCTGAATATACTTTTCCCTCTTGTTCTCTCTCGACCATCTCTCTCTCTCTCCAAATGTCTTCATCTTTTTCTAGATCTCACTTTCTATTATATCTAACTCTCCTTTTTTCTCTAAAACCCCCTTATCCACCACTATATAAACCTCACCTTTCTCTTTTCTCTCTCCGCCTGAATATCCATCTCTCTTTTATTCTCTCTCGAAGCATTTCACACTCTCTAAATGTCCCCATGATTTTCTCTAGATCACACTCCCTTTTATATCTTACTCTACTTCTCTATAAAATACCCCTCTCTTATCCACCGGATTCGGCTAGATCTTTCCACCCTCTTTCCTGTAAATAGACATTTTATCTCTCTCTCTACCTGAATATCTGTTCTCGCTATTATTCTTTCTGTCTCTAAATGCCTCTAGATGTCACCCTCTCTCACTATTTTCACTACGTAAGTATCCCTTTTTTATCCACTGCATTCAGCTATATATATCTATATATACCTCCACGTCTCTGTCCTTCTCTACCTAAATATATTTATCTGTCTGTCTGTCACTACCCGTTCAAATCTTTCTATCTTTCTTTATCTAATCCCATTCTCTCTCTCTCTCTCTCTCACTCTCTTTCACCACCCGTGGAAATAAGTAACAGAAAGCGAGCGTACATCTAATGGGGAACAACGTTTTCAGAGTCGAAGACATTGCGTTTACGTTGATAGAATTCTAATTCCAAACTCAGAATTACGCAAGTTATCCTTCCAGTTGGCCTTTTGTAGGCGTCGTCGCTTTTCAAGGTCGCTTCTCTTGCAGAAATTTTCAATCCAATTATTTCTCTCCCAGAACGGATTGATCAATAACTATTTGGTATAACTAAGACGAATTATGTATCAGATTCGTTGTCTTGCTGGTTGGGATATACTTCTCAACCCACCAGTCTCTGGAATCATTTATAGGTAAAAGAATCATGTCATTGTTACCAATATTTGGATCTTTAAAGATAATGATCCGATACTGAGTTAGGGAATTAAAGGCTAGTATGCGATCAGTATTATCGAATTGGCTGATATTTTTTTCTTCTTTCAACCGGAACAAGAGAATAATAATAAAAAATATACAAAAAAGAAATATATCTTTTATCCGCATTAAATTCTCTTCTTTATTTTCTATGGAAAAACGAACGGTCAATAACATTTGCCTTACAGTAATCGGTTCGATAATACGGGCACCTCTGTTGGTTAACGTTTCAGTTTCAATTGTAGGCTTATTCGATTTTATTTAAATACCATCATTTACAATGACCTCTCTTTTGGGGGGGAATTAGAAAAATCAAAGAGTCAGTATACATGCTATTTTCAAATAATTCAAGAAACATTGCTGATGCCGATCGCAGTGTTGGAATAGTTAGGTTCGCTGGCACTGCTATGCATTTTGATCTGGAAAATTGATGTATTTAGCTAAACGAAAAGCATCATTCGGCAGAATATCTCAACACATTTTTTTTTAATCTCCTGTTTTCCAGTTTGGTGTTACTTCAGACTAAGTCAAGCTTCCCTACACGCAAGCCGCTAGTGGCCCGCTCGTTGGTCGCCGATGGCAATGCTAGCAGTTCTCTGGTGGTAGCAAGCGGCGTGCCTCTAACGGTCCGCCATTTGTAACATTGCCGAGACAAACAAGCCGGCAGTCCGACAGCGGTCCACCAGCGGTAAACGCTAGTGGCATACCACCCAGTGAGAGATAAAGTTAGCAAATAACATCTCGCAGTGCCATCCACCATTAAACGGTGCTTTCAAGTAGAGGTTTTCGCCTGGGTAAAAATATCACTTCTCCTCATCGGGAAACATAGCAGGACCTGTGTGCGTAACTATTTTGGTTGGTTTGGTTGAAATATTTGAAAATAGTTCTTTTGAAGAACTAGTCTAGTTTACACAAGCGCGAATCGGGATCGTCAGCCTTTCTCCTTATTCTCCTTTCTCAGCTTTTGTGACGGTGGTGGAGATGGCTGTGAAGCCTACTTCTGATGCTTCGTGTGGAGAAAGAGTCACGGCGGAAGTATCTGAGTGGTGGATGCGGCTGGGCGGGTCGGGCCTTCCTGATAGGAAATCGAAGAACCTCATATTCACTGCCAAGAATGTTGAAATGTTATGGACACGTCATAAGAGACAATCTTTCCACGAACATCCAAGAAGTTACCAGGTCAGGCAAAATAAGATGAGGAAAACAGAGGAGAAACTGAGCTTAAAATTAAGGGAATACTAAACAAGAATCAGTCCCATTGGAAGATTTCATAATCATTGTCAAGAAGAAAAAGATGAAATGGTATGGACACGTCATAACAGCCAGCAATCTTACCACTACCATCCAACAAGATACCAGCTCAGGCAAAAGGAAGATGAGGAAAACAGGAAAAATGAGCTGAGAATTAAGGGAATACAAAACAAGAATCAGTCCCATTGGAAGATTTCATAATCACCGTCAAGAAAAGTTGAAAGTTGAACCATAAGAGCCAACAATCTTTAGCTTCCATTCGCAAAAAGAAGATGAGGGAAAATAGATAAAATTGAACCGAAAGTTCAAAAAACGGGTGAAGACAATAGTGACGCAAACATTGGTAGACATGGCACTGTTGTTCATGATGACGGTCGTCTTTGAGATGAATGATGATGATGAAGACAGTAGGATGATGAAGCGGATGGGTAAACAAGAGAAATGATTCAAAATTGACAATGTTTTCATTCCATTAAAACTATTGGGGATTAAAATTATAAGTCATTTGGGAAGTTTCATTATATACACAAAACTTCTTGGTTGGGACTGATGATGATGATGATGATGAAGCGGATGGGTACAAGAGAAATGATTCAAAATTGACAATGTTTTTCATTCCATTGAAACAGGCATTAAAATTATAAGAGAAGTCTTATATCTTCTCTTTCCTACTTATCATTTTGTATGCTGCAGAAACATCACAGATATCACCTATGTAGACAGTATTACAAATGATACAGTTCAAAATACCATCAAACAAACCCATTGGATAAAATGACCACCGTCAAGAAGAGAAACATGAAATGGTGTAAACACATCTTGGGAGTCAACATTCTTTCCTCTACCATCCTATAAGTTACCAACTTAGGTAAAAGAAGAAGAGGCAGGCAAAGAAAAAAAAAGGTACTAACAAAATGCCTTACACAGAATCTGTCCATTTTTGTCATTCAATTGTCTAACATTGTCCTGATATAAAGAAATTTATCTATGTATAAAATTCTGTGACTTCAGTCAGTCCGTCCGTCTGTTCTTCACATCCTCTAAAATAGCAATACATTGACCGATCGAAACTAAATTTTGGAGAGAAGTATAAACAGCTAAAGGGGTACAAACTACAGATTTTCAGATAAGACGTTTGGACATCTTGACACCATTTGTCGTAAGAATCACTGAGAACCCCTTTGAGTTATTTAGCTCAAAAGAGAGCAGGTTAATATTGTTTTGTCTCAGACCAACTCTCTTCTGAACTGAGCAATGGTGAGAGGGAAAGGATCATTAAGCCTTTTGTAATGGTACCAACATTCATATTCTGACTTCCATCTACATAGTCCATTCAAGAACCATCAAGAGAACGGTGATTAAGTTTAATGAAACAGGCATTAAAATCATGAGAGAAGTCTTATATCTACTCTTTCCTTCTTATCATTTTGTATGCTACAGAAACATGACAGATATCACTTATGTAGACACCATTACAAATGATACAATGCAAGATACCATCAAACAAACCCAGAAGAGAAACATGAAATGGCATGAACACGTCTTAGGAGTCAACATTCTTTCCTCTACCATCCTACAAAGATCTAACATAGGCAGACAGAGGAAGAATGGAAAGAAAATTTCACTGAGTGAATTGCAAGATCGTTCATAGGGACTCAGACATTGGGTATAATTTTTTTGGTTTTTTTTACGGCATATCAACACCTCAATGGGTTATTTGATGCCGACTTTTTAGGATAGTTTCGCATGAAGAGAATATATATTCTTTGTAATAAATCTGTGTATTGCTGGTAATTTTTCTTTAAATGTACTGCATTAGTTTTTACTATAAAAATTTATTTTTAACTTCCATAGATTTGTAACACCAATATGAAGGTTAACTATTTGCCCATGGCTAGGATCCTAAGAGGTTTTAAAATCCCGGGTCAGGTTGGACAGGGGGACAACACATTAAGAGGTAGTTCTATGCTCATCAATACATACTGATCAGATTCCTTGCTGCTGGATGTAGTTTATCGTCATCCCCATGAGAAAATATACATTGGGACGCAACCGAGATATATGCAGGGAGCTGGTCACGTGTTCAGCTGCATATCGTCTATACAAAGACAACGCTCATAAAAATAGTGATCATCATGATCACGATCATGGTTGATATAGTTTTGTACTTTTCATCAGCTTCAGGGGTTTTTCATATGAAACATTGGCGCAACACAATCTTCCAACTTAGTTTTCCTGCATTCTTAATAATGAGGTAGTCGTTTTCCTACGGCAAACGTTCGGCATTCATTAACTGAAAAGTGAGCGTTACTGTCTTGAGCGCTACTGTCGAGTAAAATTTCTAAAATCTTTTTTTTTAAACAATTTTTATGGGTATTAAACTTCTCAATTCAGCTAACTGTTATTTTCTTCTTCTTCTTCTTCTTCTTCTTCTTCTTCTTCTTCTTCCATGCCCTGCGCCAATTCATTTTATGAGCGATCAGACATCCATCCATCCATTTAGGTCGACCGTAGTCGGGAGACAATGCGAACGACGTTTTCTTTACCTGTATAGTATGTACCCCGACAGAGCTACATCTACTTTTGAATACAGTTTCTTTTCCCTTGGTTGCCATGAGGACTATTGAACCCAGTATGTCCTGCTATTTACCCATTGCTTCAGGGAGAAAAAGCGGATTTCCCAAGAGTATTAGCAAGACAGGAATTCGAACTTAGCTCATCGATTCCTCAATCCAAGCCACTATCCACCGTGCTGTCAATCAGGTCTTTCGCCTAAAACACAAAATTGCTACAAAAACAAAAACATCAACCTAGAAACTCGAATCATATTCTTAAATAGCTTTATCAGATCGAGTCTTTTATATAAATGTCGTGGATGGCGCCAGATCTGTTCAGAAATATCTAAATTGCCAGCTGTACATAACTGCTTTCTAAGATCAATGGCTTTGAGCTATCAAATCCTGAATGTCTTGTCAAAGACTATACTTTGAACATTGTTTGGAAAATAACGTCTTTACCGGCATATTACTTAAGTTTTGGTTCTTTTAATGCCGTGCTCCTTCAGGACATAAGGAATAATGGCTCTCCACAGATTCTTTTTCGCCTACAACTGCAAAGTGATACGAAACGAAAACATCAACCGAAAAACTCGAGTCATGTTCTTAAATAGATTCGTTAGATCGAGACATTCACAGGGCGCCAGATTCATTTAGATATATCTAAAATGTCAGCTGTATACAACCGATTCCTAAGATCATGCATGAAAAGTGTGTGTAAAGACTGTGAGACATGTCAAAGACCAATTCTCTAATACTAATGACATGTACTATTGTTTAGAATTTATAAAATCTTTCTCTTAACACTAGGATGGCCAGCACCTT